ACCCCCCCCTTTTTATAGGGTACCACATTCCCCCCCTTTTTTATTCCCCGCCAAAAGGGCGACAATCAATTCCAAACACAGCAGCAAACCTACCAATCAACCCAACCCAACACACTGCCCGTTTTCTTTGTTCCATTGGTTATGGTAAAAACTCGCTGGCAAAATCGTTCAAACCCATCAGTTGGCCCCCCCTCCCCCTCCCTTGCCACTCCCCCAAGCCCAAATTCTCCGATCCTTGGTAGTGCCGTTTTCTAAGTCGTGGCCTGGTATCCAACGGCGCAGCAGGCACAAACGGCGTGGCACAACACTAGCTGTGCTCTTGATCAACGCTCTCACCCAGTAATCAATCAACCCTCACTCTGTGCATGGCTCGGTAATAAGCCGTGCTACAATCTCGTCCTGTCGGTCTTTTGCCAATACGAAGTCTTTTCGTTTTCTAGAAAGATTTTTTTTTAATATATATATATATAAAAAGAAAAGGCGCAGAAAAGCAAGCCACCTTTTTCCAAATCAGTTTTCTAGTCTCTCCCTCCCCCCGTCATCCCAAAAATCGCGTGTGCTGCTGCATGTCTTGTGCGACCCGCGTAACGTGCAGGCTGCAGCTACGCGGCGCCCGTTGTATATACACGGGCTGTCTTCATGCAAGGTACCGTCTTTTCTAGCCGGCTTACCGCTCGTGCCGCTCGTGTCAAACTTCGTATGTTCTTCCGTTCCCCGAGCTTCATTCGGTGAGAGAAGGGTCCGGTGTACGGTGAGCTGAGAAGCCCCGATGATGACCACCGGCTAGAATATCCAAAGGCAAAAAGGGCCACGCCAACACATTGTACAAAACCACCCCCCGAGAAACCGAAAGGACGCGAGAAAGCCTCCGTTCCTCGCACAAGGTTCTCCCCTCCTCCTCCACCTCCTCCCCCAAAGGCTGTGCATGTGTAAGAGCATAAAACCTGTCTTTGTGATGCAAACAAATAAACACAACACAACACAACAGTCTCCTGTCGTACAACATCATGCAATGTATAAGCAAAGCTAGATAAAAACAGCAGCATCAAAACAGTATCCACAAGTTCAGCTGATGCCAACGCTTTCTTTTTGTCTCGCAACACAAATCATATACCAAAGCCCTTCAGAGCTTAGAGCTCAACCTTCCAATCACTCCCAATGCTCGCACCCACCCTCTTGATAACCGCAAAGCTCGCCCTCCCGGCGGCCTTGTCAGCAGGAGTAAACTCCACCTTTGCCTTCCACGCCCCCTTCCCGCTCTCATCAACAACATCCACCTCGGTCTTCTTCCCCCACACCTTCTCCTCCGCCCCCACGACCACGATCTTGTCCACCCTCACCTCATTGTACTTCTTGAGCCACTCCCCTTGCTTGACGCTCTTGGTATCCCTGCCCTCCTTATCAACCGACGTGATGGTCTTGGCGGCGCCATCGTAAACAAACCTGCGGTTGATGTACTGCCCCTGTTCAAAGTCATACGAGTCGCCGTCATCCACGTACAACTCGCCCTCCGCGTGCTTTCCGTCCTTGGGAATGGTCAACACCAAAGTGTAGTCATCCCACTTCTGGAGCTGCGAAGAGCGGCGGGGAATGTCACGGCGGGGGAAAATATGGCCACCACGCATCAGAAGGGGGAGCTTCTCCAGCGGAGCGGCAACCGTGACCGTCTTCCCGGCCTTGCCAGAGGCAACGACATTGTAAGTAAAGTAATCGTAGTAGACTTCGTTGTCAGGGACGAAGATGTCCTGAGTCTCCTTGTTCTCCTCGGTAACAGGCTTGACGAGAAGGCCGGTGTTGCCGACGAAGAATTGGTTGTCGATGGGGAAACCGGCCTCTTCGTCAGGGTGAGTGTAGTACAGCGGCTTGACGATGGGAGTGCCGTCGACGTGGGCTTGGTGGAAGGCAGTGTACCATGATGGCAAAAGGCTGTAACGAAGGCGGAGGGCACCAGCGATGATGGTGTTGTACGGCTCCCCCATGAGGTAAGGCTCGCGGCGGCGGGCATCAATGTGAGCATGGCCGCGGAAGAAGGGGTAGAAAGCACCGGCCTGGTACCAACGAGTCAAGAGCTGCTTGTCAGGGTTGCCGAAGAAGCCACCGACGTCAGCGCCGGAGAAGGGGAAGCCGGCGATGTTTTGGGACAAAATCATGGGGATGGATTCTTTGAGATGGCCCCACTCGGCAGTGTTGTCACCGGTCCACATGGCACCGATGCGCTGAGAGCCGGCAAAGAAGGCGCGGGTGAGGACAAATGGACGGCGGAGCTCGCCAGGCTTGCGGGTTTTGAGAGCATGGTGTGTGGCGTTGTGGAAGGTCATGCCGTTAAGGTTGTGGACATCACGATGCTCCCAGTTGCCATCATGAAGGTTGTCCTTGGGCATGGTCGTCTCGGGACCGTTAAAGACCGAAGGCTCATTCATGTCGTTCCAAATCCAGGTGTTCTCCATGGAGCCTTTGAACGAGGCATACTTGAAGAGGGTAGCCCACCACTCACGGGCGGCAGGCTTGAAAGCATCAATCCAGTGGGAGCTGCCTGGCCAGCACCAGCCCTCAAAGATGTTGCCATCCTTGTTCTTGACAGCCAAGTCCTTGGACTTGAGCTCGGCAACGACGGGGTAGTTGTCGGTGTTCTTGATATGAGGGTCGATGATAGTGACCAGCTGGCGACCGTGGCTCTCCAACTGCTTGCCCATGCCGATGGGGTCCCTGAAGCTATGCTCATCCCAGGTGAAGTACTTCTTATCATCCGTGTACTCAATATCGAGCCAAATGACATCATAGGGCATCTTGAACTTGTCCATCTTGCGGTCGACATCCTTGACATCCTCGTCCGAGACGTAGTTCCAGCGGCACTGATGGTAACCGAGGGCAAACTCCTGAGGCATGGTGGTGGTGCCGGTGAGCTCGCCATATTTGGCGGTAAGATCCTTGGGGGTAGGGCCAAGGAAAACAAAGACGTCCAGAAGACCACTTTCCGAGAACCAGTGAGTGTGGGTGCTGGTTTTGGAGCCAATACCAAGAGACAGGGGGTTCTTGGAGTCCTTGCCCTTGGTGATATCGACCCAGGTCTCGGCAGCATTGAGCCAGAAAACACCAACGCTGGAGCCCTTGCGGTGGGCCTGCATGAAAGGAATGGAGCCATAAAGCGTCATCGGGCTGTCAAGAATGTACTCGAAAACGTCGGCGTTGTAGAGCCTGTAGGGCTCGCTGTAGCTGCCATCCCCGCCGCGAGTGGTCTTCAGTGACAGAGGGCCGGTGTGAGAAGGAATGCCGTAGACATGCTCGAAGCCCGAGAAGGTGATATCGAGGCCAACACTTTCGGGGCCACGAGGCTTCGAATCGGTGTTGCTGCCAAAGGACTCGTCCCACCAGGTGCTCTCGTCCTCGCCCTTGGGTTCCTCCTCCTCCTCCTTCTTCTCCTCTTCCTTGTCCTCCTGGTTCTGCTCGCCCTCGGGGGTGTCCTTGTTCTCAACCGCTGGCTTCTCAATCTTGGGCCTCCAGTGCTCCACGTTCAGCAGCCCCTGGTCGTTGAACTTGATCTGGCTGACTCCATCGCGCTTAAAATCGATTCCAAAGGGAGCGAACTTGATGACGGCTTCGAAGTTGGAGGTAGGTCCGTACTTGACAGTGAGCTGTGACTTGTCTTCGAAATCCACCTTGGCTTCCTTGTCAAGTGTTAGCCCTCCAACAATAACCCATTTCTCGGCTTCATTGTATCGCTCCTTCCGGGCCTTGCTGTCATGGCGCAGTTCGATCTCGCCCTTTTGCCTCTTCTCTTCATCAATCGTAACTCGGGCGGTGCCGGATTCGAGGAAGGAAACGGTCAATGGAAGCCGGACGGTGTCGCCATTGTCGTTGATAGTCTTCAATACGACAGCTTGGTACTGTCCGTCCTTGAAGGACCCGGATTCGGGAAGGATAGAGTATGGAGACGACCACGAGTTGGTGGAGAGGACGTGGTCAGCAAGCGCTCGGTTTCGCGAGCAGAAGCCCGACTGGGCGCACTTTTTGAAATCATGTTCCTTGACGGCAACTGATACAGAAAGAGGTTAATCACAATGTTCCAGAGAATCTAGATACCCAAGACCACCTCAGTTCCCTACCTGCTGGTGTAATGACGCCGGAAAGTGTAGATATCAGCCCGAGATAAGCTGTCCACCTCCCGGACAGCGGGCCTGAGAGGTGCATGGCAGCGGCTAGCGACGCTCAAGGCGCTGTCGCAAGGCACTCTGGGTGTGCTGGAAAAACAAAGAGCAAACGCGATAAAAAGGAGTGAGATGGCCTTCAAGCCCTCACTTAATGCATCCGGTAATCCTCCGAAATGCAGCAAAAGAAAATATAAAAAAATGCGATGGCTTCTGCCCCAGGTTCAGTGTTGGGATGCTTTGAGTTGGCAACTGCTTCAAAGCTCCCAATCTGGATTGGCCACCTTTCTCCTGAGACAGGGACCGGGCCCCTGCTGGCGCTCCGCCCATAGCCAACCCTGCTGCCAAGTGGCACATTGCCTGGCACCCTGGCCGTACCTAACCCTGAATGATGACTTTAGCCAGCGCTGGTGGACATTCTCGCCATTGGGCTCCAAGATATAGGCTGTACATCGTTGAAGACATCAACAAGCCGGACGTGCTTTATTCTTTTCGTTATTGGAGACTGAACCTCGTCAATAACCATTGCTGTTTCGTTGGCTATCTTCCAGACCACCCCCTATCAATAAGCCACCTTCAAGCATCCCGACGAGAGCTACCTAGTTGCCCGACCGCCTCGAGCTCTCAGAAAGATCGGGTGCCTCTGATTCGACCCGTCATGCCGAGTACAGACACAGCTGTTCCGAGACGACAGCAGCAGCGAGATGGCGGCGGCGGTGGTTGGCTGGCGAGGTGTCGGGGCGTGTTTGGGAACGAGTCTCCTGCATTCTATGTCCTCCTAATGTGGGTCGTTGTGTTAACAGCTGTGGTCTTTTCTGACGGCTTCGACCCCACCTCGTCCCGAGCCTCCTCAGCTCTTCGGGCTCCAGCGGCTTCTGAACAAAATTCCTTTTTTCCCTCTTCCTCCTCTCCTCCCCCACCACTTGTCAATTCTCCAGCAGACTCTCAAGAACCAGCCAAAATGTCCACCGAGCAGACGTAAGTCTTTCCCCCCCAGCTTTTGCCTCTTTCTGAGCACCCATCGCCCTGCTTTTTTCGCCTTGGCTTGCCCCTCGATTACCCCGCCATCCTTGTTCTCTCGTCCTGATTCTACCCCGCCATTTCGCATTCTCATGAACTGACGGTGAAACAGCTTCATTGCTATCAAGCCCGATGGCGTCCAGGTACGCGCGAGCACGGCACAGCTTGTCGACCATGTTTGATACTGATAATCGGTGTAGCGTGGCCTCGTTGGTCCCATCATCTCTCGCTTCGAGAACCGTGGGTACGTGAACTCCACCCCAAGCTTGAAGCTCTCTCCAGCTCTGGCCATCTGCTGACAAACATCACACGCAGCTACAAGCTCGTTGCCCTGAAGCTCGTCACCCCCGGCGAGGAGCACCTCCAGAAGCACTACGAGGACCTCAAGGACAAGCCCTTCTTCCCTGGTCTCATCAAGTGTATGTGACACCCTGCGATGCCTACTGCTGCACCTCCAGCTGCTGACCGCTACCCCTCCAACAGACATGTCCTCCGGCCCCATTGCCGCCATGGTCTGGGAGGGCCGTGACGCCGTCAAGACCGGCCGTGTCCTCCTCGGTGCCACCAACCCCCTTGCCTCCGCTCCTGGCACCATCCGCGGTGACTTCGCCATCGATGTCGGCCGCAACGTCTGCCACGGCTCCGACTCTGTCGAGAACGCCAAGAAGGAGATTGCCCTCTGGTTCAAGCCTGAGGAGCTCAACAGCTACAAGGCTGCTGCCTTTGACTGGGTCTACGAGAAGGCCTAACTAAGCGGTTCGTTTCTGAGATAGAAACTGCTGCTTGCCCGTATCTGCGGCAAGGGCAATTTGACTGGTCCTCTTGATTATATGTAGCACGTTAGAGCTCTGGAAAATAGAGACCGATTTGAGTTGTTCACATGTTTTGCCAATGCTTGTGTCTTGTCTTTGAATTGTTGAGCGTTATCTTTCGAGAATGGTGACAACCAACCCTAACCCTTTGCCTCTGGCGACTTGGTAGCTTTGGGATATCACAAGCTCTCTTTTCCATAACCAGCCTACAAATCGCACTTTCCAACAACCAACCACCGAACCAGGACAGTCAACCTCTCAACTCTAACCCAATTCCCCCTTGGCCGTAACGATGCGCCCCCACCACTTTTCCAATCCCTCCTCCGTCAGCCCCGCCGCCCAATCCAACTCGGAGGAGTCACACGACCTCGAAACAGCAGCACCTTTCCCCCACCTCCACCACCGCAGTCGTCAGCCAAACTCTCCCGCGCAGAAAAGATTCTGTCCAAACTGCCACGCCCCTTGCAAAAATACACCACCTCTTTACGGTCCGCGCCCACTACGCACGTGCTCGCGTTTTTGATACTGCATGAGATTACTGCCATTGTGCCTTTGGTTGGGCTGGTTGGGGTGTTTC